GCAGAAGAGGGTAAGTTCGCGTTTTTTTTTTTGTTTTGTTTTTTGCTAGGTGGCTGTGCCTTGCTTGCACTTTGTTTCCCTCTCATACTTCTTTGATTTACTTTGTGGAAAATGCATCTGGGCCCTCTGCAGGCAAGCTCCTCCCTGGGGATTGTGCTGTAACACCTTCACCCCTCTTACACCCCAAACTCCACCAGCCTTTGTCTCAGCGGCTCCCAGCGGCGGCTCTCCCGCGGGCCTTCCACTTGGAGTTTACTAGCCCTGTGGATTCTGTCTCGGACCTGAGCTCAGACAAACTTCCCTCTTTGATGACTGCTTACTGTGCACACCGCATCCCTCTCCAGCACTGGGCGTCTGCATCTCCTCAGCCCGCGGGCAGAAGTTTTCCACTGCGCTGATAGCTCTTTGCTGTTTACCCAGCCAAAAATCAAGTCAGAGAACCGCTCGCAAATTGCAGTTTGTTCAGAACAGAAGGACCAAGATATGAGGGCCCTTAAAGGAGGGGCTGAAAAGAATAAGGCTATGCATCTATGCATCCTGCAGGCAGAGTCCCCCCCCTCCCCCCGCGGGATATATGCAATAGCTTTCTTCAGTTTTCTAATAGAACAAACAAAGACAGTTATAAAATAGCAGCTAAGAGCAGATTCTGAGGTTAAGCACTGATAAATTTCCTAAGGTCTTGTCCTTCCTTTTATTTTATTTTGTTTTATTTTATGTTATTTATAACTTCCCTGTAACCCGCTGGTGTTATTTCGTGACTGGAAATCAAGGTAGTTTACGAGGATGAACATATAAAGTGATTTCCCCACTGCTTCAGGCATAGTAAGAATTTCATAAAAGTTAGGTCTAATTTCTAATGGCTAGAGTGGGTCTAATTATCTCCGCTTTGTGGGTTAGAAACCTGAAACCCTAAAGAACTGTTAACATTTATTCCTTGCACTTTTTTAATTGCCTGGGGCGCCATCCAAAAATAAATCAGGCATAATCACCTTTGTTATTCATTGCCTTGTCTACTGAAGGACTCAGAAAATAAACCTTTAAATAAGGAGATTTCAGATAACAGTGTCTGCCATCAAAATAGCTGGTGGCATGAAGTAATTGAGAGTGACAATGAGAGATACTGAGGTTATGTCTTTCTCTAAGAGGTAAAATAAGGTCTTCCTAGAGGTGACATTTGAGCCTATTCCTGAACCCTGAAAAAGAGCTACCCACAAAACAACAGTTTCAGGTCATACACAAGTCCAGAGGCAGGAATGGGTTGGGTAGGATTAGAAAAAACAAAACACAGGGTCAGTGTGAATCTTGCATAATGAGCAGAGCTGACAGGAAAGGAAATGGGGTCACAGCAGGTACACAAAGACCTGATAAAGTCATTTAAACCATGTCTAAGGGAAGCTTACTTAGGAACACAGGAGTGGTTCCATCTGAGTTTCTTCACACTGAAGGAAGACAAAGGTGCTAGTCACATGATGAGAAGGAAAGAGGCAACTGCAGTGGTAGTCTCAGAGGAGATGGAGACCTTGAATAAGTAGCTCATCAGTGGCCACCGAGCTTCAGAATTGCAGAGCTCATAAGATCTGAGTCACTGTCTAGTACAGCACTCTGGTGCATTGTTACACAAACTACAAAACTCTTACTCCACAAACTTGCTTCTGTTTTGTTATGGCACTGTTTGATCATCCTTTCCCTCTGTATGTACCTTGATTCTTATGCCAGATTGTCAGATTTTCAGGATAAAATCTCTCATTTTTATTTTCTGACAACAGAGACTCAAATTCCATACTAGGGGGGCTCAGATGGAAATTAAAAGCATTTGCTTTTCTTGTAGGCAAACCTGGGTTCAGTTCCCAGCGTTTATTTGGGGACTCAGAGCTTTGACTCCAGCTCCAGAGGCCCCGCTACCCTTTTCTAGTCTCTTCAGGTGCTCCACATACATACATGCAGACAATATACTTGTAAATTTTTTTTAAATCCTATGCTAACATTAATGTGCTTGAAGCTAACAGTATATATCCTTCAACTCCCTCCCCCCACTTCCAGGTATTTTTTTCTCCAGATTATTCAAAACAGTTGTGTAAGTATGTCATTATTACAGTTGTAGTCATGAATGCTTTCATTTATTAATTGAAAATGAATATCTGATGTACAGCCATTTTGATTGCAGTAAAGTGAACTAGGTCTTTCTAGATTTCTCTTTTTTTTTTAAAGATTTATTTATTTGTTATGTATACAATATTTTGTCTCCATATATGCTTGCACAACAGAAGAGGGCACCATTTCTCATTATAGATGGTTGTGAGCCACCATGTGGTAGCTGGTAATTGAACTCAGGACCTCTGAAAGAACAGTCAGTACTCTTAACTTCTGAGCCATCTCTCCAGCCCCTAGATATCTCTTTTAATAAAATAAAATAGGCAACAATCCAATCCCTATATGATAATATAAAATGACAGTTCGTGTTTATTAAAGTGTGTAATTAAAATATTTCAATTTCCAAAATTTACTTTGAAATTATTTCAAAAGTTACGTAATCATTGCAGACATAATAAAATTTCCACTTATCCTTCACCTCCTTTCCCTAATCTTAAAGATCTCTGTACCATTTTAGAAGACAGTAGACATGCTATTCTGGAACTGTATACTTAATACATACATGAGTATTGATTACAAGGACAACACAGCCATCAAAATCAGGCACTTAGCGTTGGTCCAGTATTACCATGTTAGCATCTTGGGCCACCATAAAAAAATACTTCAGACTAGGTTACTCAAAAAATATATAATGTCTCTGGAGGCTGGGAAACGAGGTACCGGTTTTATCAAACCACTGAGAAAATGGTTTCACCTCATTTTCTTATGAGGGTGCTGCCTCACTTGTAGCAGACTCATGTGCTAGCATGCCTGGGAGAAGTCAGGAAGCTCTGTGATGCCTTTCTGATAGGCACACTCACTAACTGCATCCAATAGATCGCTTGTTCTCCATTACAGTCTCATTTAACCTTAATAGCTCTTTAGTCCACATGGAGCTATGCTGGGGCTGGGGCTTCCACATGAGGATTTGAAGGCACATGTGCCTTCAGAACTTCACACCATGGTATCCATGGATTCTTTCTTTTTTGGGGCGAGAGGGGTTTAGAGACAGGGTTTCTCTGTGGCTTTGGAAGCTGTCCTGGAACTAGTTCTTGTAGACCAGGCCAGTCTCAAACTCACAAAGATCCGCCTGCCTCTGCCTCCCGAGTGCTGGAATTAAAGGCGTGCTCCACCATCGCCTGTTTTGGTATCCATGTATTCTGGCTAAGTTAATACAGCTTGTGGTAGTTTGAATGTACTTGGCCCCCATGAGCTCACAGGGAGCAGCACTATTAGGAGGTGTGGCCTCTTTAAAGTAGGCGTGGCTTTGTTGGAGGAAGTGTGTCATTGGGGACAGGCTTTGAGGTTTCCTGTACTCAAGTTACACCTAGTTTAGCTCACTTCCTGTTGCCTGTGGGATCAAATTGTAACTCCTCCTGCTTGCATGCTGTCATGTCCCACCATGATAATAATGTATTAAAACTCTGAAACTGTAAATCACCCAATGAAGTGTTTTCCTTTATAAGACTTGCCATGGTCATGGTGTCTCTTTACAGCGATAGAAAGTCTAAGACACCACTTGTCCCAGTTATTTACAAATTAGGTCTATAATCCAGTGATCCAAGATGGCCCCTTGGTTTTAGCTGTCCTGCCTCTTTAGTTTTCTCCGGTCTGAAATAGTTCTTTAGTTGTTTTTGTTTGTTTGTTTTTTCTAGTACCAGTTGGTTAGTTACCATGTTGATCCTCCGTGTTTGTCTGGTTTCTGTTTGTGATGCTTTCTCATGGTTTCTGAGCCTCTGATGGAAACATAACAGAAGTAAGGTGCTTGTCTTTTTGAATTTCTTTAGGAGTCATATAGTATAAACTTGCTTCATGACTGTGAAGTTTTTTTTATCTCTTTACTAAGATGTAATGTCTTAGGGTTTCTATTTCTTTTTTTTATCATTTTTTATTTAAATTAGAAACAAGATTGTTTTACATGACAATCCCAGTTCCCTTCTCCCTCCCATCCTCCCCTAACACCTCCCTAACTAAAACCCTACCTGTCACATAGCCTTTCTTCTATTCTTCCCCTGACTCAACCTTTCTGCTCCCTCATGACCTCTGCATCCTTCCTCTTCTTCTGTAGCTCCCTCCCCCCTTCCTGTGATCTCAATTTGCACAGGGGATCTTGACCCTTTCCCCTTCTCCAAGGGACCATGTATGTCTCTCTTAGGGTCCTCCTTGTTTACTAGCATCTCTGGCAGTGTGGATTGTAGGCTGGTAATCCTTTACTCCATGTCTAAAATCCACATATGAGTGAGTACATATCATGTTTGTCTTTTTGTGATTGGGTTACCTCACTCAGAATTGTTTCTGCTAGTTCCATCCATTTTCCTGCAAATTTCAAGATTCCATTTTATTTTTTTTTCTGCTTAGTAGTACTCCATTGTGTTTGGATAAAGGTTTGTCTATCTTGTTGATTTTCTCGAAGAACCAACTCTTCGTTATATTAATTCTTTGTATTATTCTCCTAGTTTCCATTTTATTGATCTCAGCCCTCAATTTGATTATTTCCTGGCATCTGCTCCTCTGGGGTGTACTGGCTTCTTTGCTTTCTAATGCTTTCAGTTGTGCTGTTAATTCTCTAGTGTGATTATTCTCCTGTTTCTTCATGTGGACACTTAGAGCTATGAACTTTCCTCTTAGCACTGCTTT